GAGGCCTCAGGAACAAAATGCAAACAATGGTTATCTGCTGCTGTGGAATGCAACAGGTGCATCTGGGATTGGTCTCATGGGGTTGTTTCTAATTAATGGCCAATCACAGTCAGCTGGCTCAGACATAGAGTCTGAGACAACTGCCTTTGTGATCATTCTTTCCTATGCTGTTATTAGCCAGCCTTCTGATGAAATCCTTTCTTCTATTCCTTTAGTATAGTTTTAATATAATATATATCATGAAATAATAAATCAGCATTGTGAAACATGGAGTCAGATCCTCGTCTCTCCCCTCATCCTGGGTCCCTGTGAACGCTGTCACAAATCAGTGACCACGGTGCCTGCTCAGAGCCATCAGGGGCCAGCACAGGTGACAGCACAGCTGCTGGGGAGAGGCCCCAGGTGGGATCTGCACCTGGGGACCCCTCAGGCTGATGCCACAGGCCTGGAATCCTCCAGAGATGAGGAAAACCCTTGGTGCTGCTGTAGGTCTGTGTTCCATCTGAGCCTTCCCGAAACTTCAGAGCCCTCTCACTGTGCAATTATAGGAGGATTTTAGTCTGATTATACATTAAAAAACTCCCCTCTCCAAAGAAACTCAAAGATCAGAGACATTTCCTTTCAAGTATTACACTGAAATTTGAACACTCCTGCTGCTTATTACAAAATGTTTCTGCAAGGCACTGTGGAACTCTTCCACTTGATACTTGTATTGTCAGGATTGTTTTGTTTTCTCTATAAATCCCAGCATTTCGCTTCCATAGCCTTCTTCTTCACGGAAATGTTGTTAGGGAAGTTTTAGTCACAGCTTGAGCAGGATGCACAGTCACAAGCCACTGCTGTGGGTACATTAGCAGGACCATGAGAATCACAAGCAAACACAAAATAAATGACATGTTTGTCCTTCAGCTGGGTGAAAATGGGAATGCAAAGTCTAGAGTCTTATTTTTCCTGATCCCCACGATTCTCTAATCTTATCAAATATACATTCCCATATTCCAAGGCAGCCTGATAAAGCAGCTTGCTAGAAATAAGTTGCATTAGATTGTGTAGAGCACATTTTCCTGGGAAATCCAATTTCACAATTGTGTTCTGGTGACATTTAGCCATTGCTTAGTACAGCAAGGGTTCCTCGGGTATTTGAAACACTGAGTCCTGNTGGCTCTGGGGATGCTCAGACAGAGCCTTGGGACCTCAGACAGGCCTGGGGAACACTGAACACCCTGGAGCTGCAGAGGAGGAGCTGCCTCCATCTCCCTGTAGGTTTTCCCTCTACTTCAGAGCCATTTATCTGTCCTCAGACCAAAACCCAGCCTAAAAGGATGGGAAACCCACCCTGGCACAGCTGTTATTGGGGCTTTCTAGCCACGAAAAGAGATCTCAGCTCAATTCTTGGTTTGAAACAGAGACAACCTTAATTCTCCCAGAAAACACCATGGCAGCACTGATAACTTCAGAGCAGCTGGGCTGGGAAAAGCTCCCTTTCACCACAAAATGCATCTAATGGCTCCCAAATTTCTGCAGCTTGTAGAATTCCAGCATGTGGCTGTGCGGCTTGTGCTTTCCAGGAGCACCATCCCTCCATTGCCCCTGTGAATTGGAGCCCTGCAATTCCCTGTCCAGGTTTCCCAGCCCTGCAATTCCCTGTCCAGGTTTCCCAGACCTGAAATCCCCTGTCCAACTTTCCCAGCCCTGCAATTCCCTGTCCAGGCTTCCCAACTCTGTAATTCCCTGTCCAGGTTTCCCAACTCTGTAATTCCCTGTCCAGCTTTCCCAGCTCTGTAATTCCTTGTCCAGCTTTCCCAGCTCTGTCCCTAGGCTGGTTTTTCATGGCCGTGGCACTGGATTTTTTAATTTCCCTCCCAATCTTTTGAACAAATTCTCCTTTTCCAAGTCTGCACCCTGTGGGGCCCTAAAATCATAACAATTAATGCCGGCAAAGGCTCCTGAAGCCACCTAAGCCATCCCTCCCAGGGCAGGATTGCTGGAGCAGGCAGAGAAATGAACGGAGAGGGGAGGCACAGGAGCCAGGCAGGGACCCGCTCCCCTGCTGAAATTGGGGCAAAAAGTTGAAATCACCTAAAAAGCTGCTGGGGGGGAAGTGGCAGAGTTACTGTCACCCGAGTGCTTGATAGTTAACATGGAAGGAGTTGTAATCCCAATTTTAACTCTTATTTCAACATTTGTTTGGGGTTTTTTTCCCTTATTTTGACTTTTCCCGGATTTTGTAGCAACAAGGGGCGATCAAACAGATTTACAATAGTCGGTGTTTATCACCCTTCCAGAGGCGTTAAGTGGCTATAAATGCATATGAAATATCTGCCGCGCATCCCTCGCCTGCTCAGCAATGTGTTCTTCCTACGTTCCTAATTGCTAGCAGGAAAAATAGGAGGAATTTGTTTACCAGCTTCCTGCATAATATTCAGACATCTGGAGCTGCGAGGTCTGCCTGGCGCTCCTGGGGGACGGCAAATCCATCAAGGACAATTAGACAAGCGGGGAGCTGCAGCCGGCAGGGAATTCCCGAGCCGTGGGGAAGGGCTCTGAGCCAGCCCCGGCACCCCCAGCCTGCCTCCCGGGGCTCCCCTGCTCTTCCTCCTCTGCCTGACAGGCCCTTCCCCGCTCCTTTCATCATCCTGGCCCTGCTGGGAATGCTTGGCATCCTTATCTCAGAGGGCTTTCCCTAAATTATTGCCTGACCTGCTGGTTGCCAAGCTCTGCAGTTGCAGGGTCCCCATCCTGGGTGGGTTTTCCCAAAGCAGGGCTGGCACCCTCAGGAATTTTTGTGAAATTTTGTGTTGAAGATTGCAATGCAAGGTGTTTTCAATCACCATCTGTATGGCAGATGACCCAGTGGGCAGTTTGCCTTGTCTCTCTCTCTGAGTGACCACAGTCACACCTCCCTGGGGAGGGGACATTGCTGATAACAGCTATTGAATGTCCCTGCATGGTTGATAAGAACGACAGCATCCCATTGGGAGATGTGAGCCCAGAGGGAGGAGCCAAGCATTGCTACCCGGATATAATCCAGAGGGAGGAGCCAAGCATTGCTNAGGGCAGAGCCCCAAGGTTTGGGGTTCCCACTGCCCCTCGTGCTGGGAGAACAGGAATTCTGCGTCTCACACCTCTGTGTGCCCCACAAAGAGCAGGAATTCTGTCTCTCACACCTCTCAGTGTGTCCCTGGGTGCAGGAATTCTGTGTCTCACACCTCTGTGTGCCTCTGGGAGCAGGAATTCTGTGTCTCATATTTCTATGAGCCCCTGGGAGCAGGAATTCTGTACCTCACACCTTTCTGTGCCCCACAAAGAGCAGGAATTGTGTGTGTCACACCCCTCTCTGCCCCTGGGAGCAGGAATTCTGTACCTCATATCTCTGTGAGCCCCTGGGAGCAGGAATTCTGTGTCTCACACCTCTGTGTGCCCACAAAGAGCAGGAATTCTGCACCTCACACCTCTCAGTGTGCCCCTGGGTGCAGGAATTCTGTACCTGGCAGGAATTCTGCACCTCACACCTTTGTGTGCTCCTGGAAGCAGGAATTCTGTACCTCACACCTCTCTGTGCCCCACAAAGAGCAGGAATTCTGTGTCTCACACCTCTCTGTGCCCACAAAGAGCAGGAATTCTGTACCTCACACCTTTCTGTGCCCCACAAAGAGCAGGAATTCTGCGTCTCACACCTCTGTGTGCCCACAAAAAGCAGGAATTCTGCACCTCACACCTCTCAGTGTGCCCCTGGGTGCAGGAATTCTGTGTCTCATATCTCTGTGAGCCCCTGGGAGCAGGAATTCTATGTGTCACACCTCTGTGAGCCCCACAAAGAGCAGGAATTCTGTGTCTCACACCTCTGAGTGCCCCACAAAGAGCAGGAATTGTGTGTGTCACACCTCTCTGTGCCCCTGGGAGCAGGAATTCTGCACCTCACACCTCTGTGTGCCCACAAAGAGCAGGAATTCTGTGTCTTACACCTCTGTGTGCCCAGTATCATGCAATCCCTGGCAAAGGCATCTCTGAGCCTCCACCCCAGCAGGACTTGGCATAGGGCTGATCCAAGGAATTGTGCTGAAGGAGTGATTAAACCCAGGAAACAGACGGAGAAGTGATCCCAGTGATGGGAACACCCCTGGAGAGGGTATTTGTGTGTTCCCTGAACATTGGCACCTTGTCCCAGTGCTCCTCCATGCACTCCCTCCTCCNTTTGGACAATTCTGCGCTCCCTGAGGAGCAGAGGGTTTTGGGCAGGGTGCAGAGCAGGGATGGTGCCCAGGGCAGAGCTGCTCCTCTGCTGTCCTAGGAGCCCAGGATGTGACTGAAGTGGCCCTGAAATGAGAAAACCTCAGGTCACTACACAGGAGCTGGGCAGAAAGGCTTTTCCTCGCTCTTCGTTTTCAAATTTTATTTGAAATCGCTGAGCACCACCAGAAATATTCCCTTTTTTTTTTCCTCCAGGGTTGATTGGAAATAAATTAACTCAATCATTATCTGCTCAGTCACAGCTCCTGATGGAAACTCTGATGGAAACTTTGCCTTTAATTCCATAAATCAGAGATTTTGCTATCAACATCCAGCATTTCCTCATTTTGGCTCTGGAAGGAGCAATATGTTCAATACTTTATCTATTCCTCAGAAAGGAAATATCCAATTACAAAAAAAAAAAAAAAAAGGAGATGGAATGAGATTCCTGAGTATTTTGTTATGATCCAGTAAATCAAGGACAAGTAAAACTGGGTAGGGGAAGTGATGTGTTATTGTTTCTTTCAGTTACTGCCCAAATTCTGCTTTTCAGAGAGAATTTGAAAAATGTGTTGAGAATTTCCAGATTTTCCAAGTGCTGCTGGAAATATTAATTTGTGCTCTGCTGAAATGCTAAACCCATCTCCTTCATTTTTAATTTCCACACTTTATTCCTGAGCAATGCAATTGTGGAGGTTATGAACTTGATGTTTTAATGGGGAACAAGCCCCAGTCGTTTTTGCCCCAAAAAAGCAGATTCCCACACTTACAGATTCTCCAGCAACACATCTTGGGCAGGGCTGGGAAATGCCTTTGCTCCCATGGTTTTCCAAAACCTGAGGAACAAAAACAGATACAAATTNAGTACAGTACAGTACAGTGCTGCTCATGGCTCTCAGCAGGAGCAGGCCTTGCCCAGCTGGGCACAACAATCCCACCAGGACCCACCTGAGGCTCCTGCCTGGCCAAGGCTCCTTGGGATTGTCCCCTCCTGCTGGGGGCCGTGTCCTGGTGCACACGATGGGCTGTGCAGGAGCCCCTGGGTGTGAGGACCCCGGGCTGGTGGCTCAGGAAGGGTTTCCCTGTCCTGGGGGTGTCTGAGGATTTGCTGGGCTCCCCCCAGTAAGTGACACACTGGAGCATCACCTTGGGTGGTTTAAACTCTCTACAGCCTCCAAGCTCTGTGCTATGTGCAGAGATTCTGACTTTTGGGGTTATTTGAGGGGTGTTAATTTGGGCAGGATGGGTTTATCCCTCCCATCCCTTCCCTGGAGCTGCTGGGAGCTCAGCCTGAACCTCTGGGTGCTCAGGGGTGGGGGAGGCCCTTTTGTGGGAGCAGTGGGGGCAGCACCTGCAGGTTTATGCCCCAGGTGGTGTGGGCAGCTTGACATGAGTGTCAGAGAGCACAAAAATTCTCTTTAATTTGGATTTAATTTGAATATCGAGACCTTGTGTGAGCTGCCATTGCTGGCTCTGAGTAAGGCAGCCCATGTGTGAACAATAATGTGCCACCTTTTAGTTACATTCTCTAGATTATTGTTTTTGAGGCTGATGTGAAGCTGGGAGGGGGCTGCTGGTGCAGTGGGAAAGGGGGTGAAAGGAGCTTAATTCCACCCAGGGACTGGCAGCTGCAGAGTGAAATAAATCACCGTGCTGAGAGGAAATGGGTTGATACAGAAATCAACTGTACGGGCTTAAAGCAGCATTAGAAATGCCTTTAAATTCAAGATAAGGTTCTCCTGAAGCTCTGCAAGTTGGGTAAATATAAAAGTGCAATTAGTGGAGCTGCTGAGGGACAGAAGCCCTGTCCTGAAGTCCTGGAGCTCTCGTGTGCCCTCAGCCACAGCTGGGGTGGGCTGGGTTCCCCCCTTGCCCTCAGCAGCATCACCTGGGGCTGCTCAGCCAGGAGTGAGCAGCTCTGGTTGTTCCTCCTCTGAGGGGAGATTTTAAATTCCTGCAGTGGTTAAAAATGGTACTGTGGGCATTAATGGGGGATCCACACCGTGAAGAAGGTGCAGTGTGGGGGAAATTCTGGGTTTATTGTACTGAACATATAATGGAGGTAGGGAAGGAGATATTTCCTCTCTGTGGGATGGGGAGCAGGCACTGGCAGAGGATTTCTCCACCATTCCACATTGGTGTTGATGGTAACATCCCTAAATTATTTGGTTCCCGGAACGAGCTGGATATCACTGCAAAGAAATGATCTGCACTTTCAGAAACTCTGCTTGATTTGCCTTAGAAAATCAGCTTAGGCTGAGATCTGCCTGGCCCGGGTTGGTTGGGGTGCTGGGTGTCATCATTTGGGGTGCTGGGTGTCATCATTTGGGGTGCTGGGTGTCATCCTCCAGGGTGAGGCTCCTGCAGTGTCCCAGCACAGCCTGGCAGGGCAGCTAAAGGGTGAAAACTTCGGGGTTACAGGCTCGGTCTGTCTGATTGTGCTGCTGTAATCCGGGGTGAGATGTTATCAGGGATGTTATCANGGATACTTCCTAGAGCTCCAGCAGCTCTGTGAGGGATGTGCGGCTACAAGATGTGAAGGTATTTAGAAAAAAAAAAAAAAAAAGTAGCGGTTTCCAAGTCAAGCAGATTCCTGCAGGGAAGTGAAGCCCGGGTTTAGGACTGGAGCTACATTTGTGAAAAATAAACCTATCAGTGCTGGCCTCGGTTATAAATTGAGGGAACATTCACCCCAGGTTTGTTCTGACGGCAGCGACTCTCCGGTTTGGGTTTAATTTGTACGAGGAAGGGTTTTGGCAGTGGGGAGAAGAGGGAGGCAGCGGGGCAGGAGCCCGGCGCTGGTGTTTGGGGATGCCAGAGCCGGGGCTGGGCTGGGCAGTGACCGCGGGCAGGGCAGTGACCAGTGACCAAGGCTGCCCCACGCACAGTGACCGCCCCAGAGCTGCCCCTGCTCAGGGCAGCCTCAGGGGTCATTCCTGCTCTGTTCACCCGCGGACAGGCTCAGCTGCTCCCCAATCCCCTGGAGAACAGCTGCCCAGATGTGCTGCAGGTGGGGGAAGTTTGGGCTAGCCCTAAAAAGGCAGCACAACTCTGCTCCTGCTCCCCAGCGTCCCGGGGCATCCCCGCCACAGGGATGGAGCGGCTGGAGCTGCTTCAGCTCAGGGCTTGGGCAGGGGTTCCGTGCCTGGGAGGGCGACCCCGAGGTCTGGGGACCCGGCAGGAATCACCCAGAGGAGCCTCAGAAGGCCCCACGGGTACCTGAGGGACTTTAATTGTTTTGCAATATCCTGTGTGCACGGGTTGGGCCGTTCCGTTCGTACAAATGCCTGGGAAACTGTGCAAGGTGCTCACACTTTGAAAAGTGCTCCTGCCTGGAAAGGCTAAAAGGTCTCTGCGGGCTGTGTGGAGCCAGCAGGGATGGAAGCAGAGCCGGGGAGAGCCGGGTGCTCCAGGCCCGAGCAATGCGGATTGTGCCCAGCCCGACCCCTCCTCACAGGGCACGGAGCGTTCTGCTGGAAACCAGCGGGAATTCCTCCATTCACAGCTACTCCTGCACGCACGAGGGCCGAGCTGGTGGCTTTTGGGGACAAATCCGTGCCCACAAAATGTTTATCAAGCAGATTTCTCCACGTGATGCTCCCTGCTGCAGAGGATGCTCTCCCCAAAACCTTCACCCCTCTGGTTTTGTGATCCCAAGGCTGTTGGGGATGCTCTCCCCAAAACCTTCCCCCCTCGGTTTTTGTTATCCCCAAAACCTTCCCCCCTCGGTTTTTGTTACACCCTTCAGAAGATCTGTAAGGCTTGGAAATGAATCGTGTCCCTCTCCCTCTGTCACCAATCCACTTTTCCAACATCCCAAACCATCCTGTATTTTTCANAAAAAAAAAAAAAAAAAGAAGTGAAAAACGTTGGTTTAAGTAATTGGTTTTTAAATTTGCTTTGCATTTGGGCATTTTGAGTTGCCTAAATAAAGGTCTGTCCCCTTTGGGGGTGTCCTGGTGCCAAAAATTCTCTTTGCAGCACATTAAGGCCAAAGTGCACATGGTTTCCACTTGTGTATTTTGTGAACGTACTTTAATTTAATTTAATTTAATTTGTGTACAAAGCCCACTTATCTGCTGTATTTTTACTCTTTTCCTGTTGCCTGTGTTCTGTAACTCCTGGTATCAGGCAGGAGGTGGCTGGGAGGCAGCCAGGGACACTTTTTCCTGGAGATAATACTTGTTCTTCAACACAGACGTGAGGAAAGATGCTTCAATAGCTTTGACAGCAGGGCCTGAGGCTGGGGCAGCCTCTGGGAGCACTCAGGTGTGCCCAGGGTGGGGGATCTGGGAAGGGATGGGGGTCCCTGAGCCACCTGGCAGCCCCAGGAGCCCCCCAGGATCTCCCCTGACCTTCAGCTTTGTAAATCAGCAGATCTCACCCTCTCACACCTGTGGGCAAAGACAGTGTCCAAATCCAGCTGGGACAGGGCTGGGAGCACCTGGGACAGGGGAAAGTGCCTTGGGCATGGCAAGGGTGGCTCTGGGTGGGATTTGGGGTCCCTTCCAGCCCAAATTAGTCTGGGATTCAGTGGAACTGTGGGCAACAGGGAGGGGAAGTACATGGGGACCCCTTGGAGCACCCAGAAATTGTTAATTTAGGGTTAATTTAATTAAATTTAATTTATTTCCTTTCACTTCTGAGAAGTGGTTCTGGCCAAGATGGTGCCGGGATGGGCTGGGGGGGTTCTGGGGCTGGGCTCCATGGATGGTTTATTAGCCTGTGATATTCCCACTGGAGAGCAGGAGCTGGGTTATTGCTGAGGCCACTGAGCTCAGGGAGCTGATTCCAGTCCAGCTGCCGCTGCTCCAGTGGGTCCTCTGCTCCCTCTCCTGTGGATTCAGGGAATTCTGGAATGTTCTGCCCAGGGAGGTGGTGCAGTCCCCATCCCTGGGTGTGTTTACCCAAAGCCTGGATGCGGCACTGGGTGCCAGGGTTTACTTGGGGTGTTGGGACCCGATGATCCTGGAGGTCTCTCCAGCCTGGTTGTTCTGTGAACCAGAGTTCGTGCACCTGGCACACCCTAGGTGAGGATGGAGCTGTGTGAGGAGCACCCCCAGCCTTCTGAAGGGTCGATCAATACCTGAGCCAATCTGCTGCTGCTGCAAAGGTTACACTGGGAGCTCTCCCTGCTGATAAAACAGAACTTTATGTCTTCTTCAGGCTGGCTCAGAATTGCAAATCCTGCAGTGAGACAGGCTGGGGCACTCGCAGTCAGCCTGGGAGGGAGGCTTGGAGCAGGCAAGGTTCTGCAGCCTGAGCTGCATCCTGTCCATCTTCCCCATCCTGTCCATCCCATCCACCC